AGGGTGGGGGGTCACCAAACTGCCCCTGCACCAGCCAGGATGTCCCCGAGGCCAGATCCCAACCCTCGCTTCCCTACAGCAGCATCGGGGACCCCAGCGCTGCCTCCTCACCCGGGCCAGAGGCTCCGTGGGCGTCTCCTCGAGGATTTGCTGGGATTCTCGCTGCTCCTCCTCCGCCAGCGAGGAGGCGTAGAAGGGCAGCACCTTCTCCTCCTCCGTCTCCAGCTTGCGGCACATCTCGGCCAGCCGCAGGACGCGCAGGGCCTGGGGAGGGAGACGTGGGAGAGGGCAGGCGGGAGGGGACGGTGCAACTCCTGCTGCCCCCCCAGCCCGGCCTCACCTTCTCCACCACCTGCCCCAGCGCCTTCAGGGTGGCATCGCTCTGCACACTGAGCTCGATCAGGCGGCCATGGGCCTTCGCCCTGGCCTGGTTCATCTCGCTCTTCAGCTCCTGGAGCAGCCTGAGGGCCTTTTCCTTCTCCTCCCACGCGTGCTTCCGGCGGGGGGCCGTGATCCGGCCCTTGGTGGCCGCCACCGAGTCCTGGGGACAGGCAGAACGTGAGCAGTGGGATGGGGACATCCCCGCTCCCGCAGCCACCCTCACACCCTGCCACGACCTGAAGCTTTTGCAGCTTCTTGGTCTGCGTCTTGATCTCCCTGGAGCTCTTCACGTTCTTCTCCTTCAGCGTCTTGTAAGCGATCTTCTGGTGCTCAGTGGCCTCTTTGTAGCCCTGCATGGCTTGCTTGAACTTCTTCCAGAGCGCGTCTGCCTTCCCGCTCATCTGTATGCGGGTGTACTGCTTCTCCTGCAGACCCTGGGGACGGACACGGCTGCGGGTGACCCACCACCTCCCAGACTCAGCTGTCTCCTCCGCTCACAAGCCCTACAAGGCTCCTCTCTGGTTCCTCCCCATGCCTTGTTTTTGATGTCATTCCAGGTGCTTTGGAATTTCAGCGTGGTCTCGTGGTCACTCGTGGCATAATTCTGCTCTGCGGACAGCGTCACGTCCCGCAGGAAGCGGCATTCTCTCTCGTGCTGCTCAAGGATCGTCCTCCTGGGGAAAATGCAGGGGACCTACTCACAGAGGGAAGCTGCGGTGGTCCCGACCAGGCCGTGAGAGGGCTCAGCACCAGGACAGGAGAACCGAATTTCAGCGTGGTCTCGTGGTCACTCGTGGCATAATTCTGCTCTGCGGACAGCGTCACGTCCCGCAGGAAGCGGCATTCTCTCTCGTGCTGCTCAAGGATCGTCCTCCTGGGGAAAATGCAGGGGACCTACTCACAGAGGGAAGCTGCGGTGGTCCCGACCAGGCCGTGAGAGGGCTCAGCACCAGGACAGGAGAACCAGCGGGTGTCACTGCTGCCCCTCTCCCCACCTCCGCACCTCTCAGTCTCAAACTCCGTCTCCAGGGCCTCCAGCTGGGCACTGAACCCCTCCTCCAGGCACGTCAGGCGGCAGCGCTGGAGCTGCAGCAGGCGGTCGATGTTGGACAAGTGGCTGCGCAGGGCCTGGGCGTGCTGCTCCTCCGCCTCCTCCAGCTCTGTGACCAGCGACTGTGGAGATTTGGGGGGTCACAGGGGAGCCCCGGTGCCACCCCTGCCCTACCAGCCTGGCGCTCGCCTTGATGGCGCTGTCCTTGCAGTCCATCACCCGCGCGAAGGTCTGCCTGAGGATCTCCACGTCCTGGCGCAGCTCCTTGTGCTTGACCTCCCGCAGCACT